CGTAGGGTTTTTCAGAAAACCTGTACTGTCAATAACTCCTTTCCTCGCTTTATATTTTAGATGTTTATTTCAGAAATGATCAAGCACACATACATGAACACAAGACCTAAAATGGCCACCTCAAAGACCACAACAAAGATGGTTGGTAATGAAACAGTACAATCTGGTTCTGTTCCTCTGAGTACGTTTGTACGTCTGAGTGCAAGTCTAAGTGGTGTTAAAATGTAAATATGGTGAGGAAATTATTTAGGAGACAATGTAAACTAGAGGAGGAGTGAGCTTCAGTGTTTCCATGAGATCCAGTTAAAAGGTAATTGGACGACCTGTATGAAAAGTTTTCAGAAGCTGTGAGAGCATGTAAAACATATCTCAGACTGTGGGGAAGAGCATTCATTAATTCTGGATAGTCTGCTGATTTTTAATTTAAGATGTGACTTCTATGTGAACTCAGTAGAAAAGAAAGTTGTCTGTTTAAGATCACATGTAAATTCATACGTGCAGATTCAGGCAATTGCAGTTTCAAGGAAATATATTTATACACTTTGCTATTCTCACATGGCCTCCTCCAAATTGAGACCTTATTCAGACTCACGGTCATCACCCTGCTTGTGGCCAAATCCACACTGTGCCAAGTCGGCATCGCCAGATCTAGATAAGTCCAGCCTGAATGAATATAGCCATTAAAATAGCGGTCCATCGGGTTATTTTTTAATTTCATGTGACTGAAACCAGTCCTGGTCTTTTCTGTGAGACAGTGGGCTTCTCGTTGTTAACATAAATCGTGTACCTAAGGGGAAAATTGTGGCCTGGGTTTAAGAGGAAAAAAGAGAAGAAAAGTGCTGTCAACAAGCGAGCGTCTTTTCCCTTGTACTCTTGGCAGTCCATCCCACAGTCACAGGGCCGACTGCGGCCTGAATAATTTGAGATACGCTCGAGCAAATTGAATTTCATAACATTCCATTTTGAGTGGCACATTCTTTAGACAGTGCTTCTCCCGTCTGCAGATGTAGAAAGCGCCTGGAAATGATTGCTCCTGAAATTGCATTTTTCTCAAAGTTGCCAATCCAACATGGTTATTTGAAAATTACACCCAAAATCTAAAAATGTATTTATTTAGTTGTTATCATTTCATGGGCCGTTGTAGACCCATTTTTCATAGAAGTCAAAACCAGACCCTACTTTTGCTAAAGATTTTAAACAAAGTCTAAAATGAATAGCCTGCATACAGGTCACTGTGAGGGTTTAATTGCAGGACAGAGAGTTTGTCTACTTCTGTCAGCAGCTCATCATCAGACATCAACAGAGATCACCCCTCTTATGTTTTACCGTCCAACTATCACCACCTATCACCACATTGCCCCTAGCTGATCAAACCCATTTCTAGTGTTTGTCTGTTCATGTTTTATACATATGTATATATATGTATATACACATATAAAAAACAAGCAGTGTCAATGAGGTAGAGACTAGGAAGTTCAAAGTATCCACACCTTGGAATAAAATAGGAAATAAATAAAAATCTGTTTAAAAAGGGGATTCTGAAAGTCTCCTTGCAAGATCCTAGTTGTTGCTTGCGTATTGACAGAGTCTCCACAGGGGTTTTAAAAACCCCAGAACAGTGAAGAAGAGAAATGACACATGTGGCATATGTGGGTAGGACTCCAAGGTGGAGGTTTGTGGCCAGTGGGGCTCTCTCCTCTTCCAGTCACAGGAAGCCGGTCGGAATGAAAGGAATGCAGTCAGGCAATACGCTGATGGAGGGAGCAGTGGTTGCAGGGCAGATTGCCAGAAAAAAAGAAAAACAAAAACAAACAAGGAAAACATAGGGGGGAGTCAACAAATTATTAGAAAGTGAAAATAGGGACGTACAAATCTCCCTAATAATCACTATTTGATGTGGATAAAGGGGGCGACAATAGCGGGGGCAGCAACAGAAATGACAGAACTTTGCTGGGAATTGTGGAAGCTGTGCAGTTATCACATAGACAGATTTCCTGGCATCGGGTGGGAGCTATGGACAAACAAGAATCTGCTCTTTTACTATCCAGGGGGTCATCCTACCACACAGGCACAAGTAATTGCTCAAGCACAGACCCAGACATGAAAACAGCAAAGTTGTGCACATAATCCAAACAAAGTGCTGCAGACAAACCTGCTGTTTTTCTAAGTTATCAAAAATCTTCTAGTACGGAAAGTTGTCTACAAATGCTATATTTTCTTTTATTTGCTGTCAGCGTAGAGTTTGTGTGAACAAATAATCAGATAAGCTATTTGTTGCTGAACAACTGAACTTCCAGTTTTCCACTCTGATAAGGAAAACATGAGCCATGTCTTTATTGTTCTGTGCAGCATTTTTCTCCATACTTGACATTTATTTTTTAACAAAATAGTTCACCTGGGACAGAAAAATAGTAAGACGCTAAAAAGTATATCAGGCATCGAAGAGCTGAACACTTAGATGGTGCCGTTTGTAAAAAGAAAAAACAAATATTCCAGAAAGAAATCATTGAATTTTTAATGTGGGATCAAGAAATATATCTCTCCAAGGAAAGAAAACATCCAATTATATATTTAAAAAGTGGTTTTGGAAATGTGTAGCTCTTTCATCACTTGAACGCAGCCCAGTAAAACCACAGCACATGTACAGGTAGGTCCCTCTAAGCCGGGGCTTACAGCTCCGTGGTGGCTTTGAACCAAGAAGGTGCTGGAGGCTGCTCACAGCAGTAGGTACCCTCTGAAGCCTTTCTGCTTCTAACAGCAAGGCAAAGTGTAACCACAGAGGGGAGAGATAGCGCTCAGCTCCCGCCTAGTTTCTCTGGAAACTGACTGTGACGATGGAAAGTGTTGCTTTACGACGCCCTCGCACTCATGTGTGAGCAAGCATGGAAAAAATTTAAAATGCGGTGTATAGAGTAGCGTGTAAACCTTTCTAACATTTGACATATGGCTTTTAATGAACACACGGATCAAAATAAACTTACAACTGGAGTGGCAATTTCTCAGAAAGTGGCAGTAAAATCTAAGTTTGTTCTTAAAAGTACTTTTTTTCTCAGGTGAAATGTCAAAAAACAAATGTATTGACAAAAAAACCCTAACCCCAACCCTAACCCTTTAAAAAAACTTATTTTTTTGTCAGTGCTGTTTCCAATATGATTGCATAAACAAGGGAAAAAACAGAAGGCATAAAATAATTATCCAAAAAAATGATATTTCCAGCTATTAAGGTCCTTCAGCTCTGTTTAAGCAAATCTTGAAGTTTTAAAGTGAAACTTTTCTCAGAACCATGGCAATGAAGTTCTGCTGCTTCTTTAGATTACACGATTGTAGTAAAACTATTCTTCCACAAGATGGTGGTATTCAAATCATGTATATGTTTACTAATTAATCACAATGCTAACCTGATAAGAACTAAACTAATTTCAGGCCAGTTACTGGCGTCCAGTCCATCACACACTACTCCTGAGAGCCTTTCTCCTTACTTCGCATGACAGCAATTTGTGGCCTCTCCAGTCATGAAAAATCTTGTCAGCACAGTGCTTTAACAGTTTGGAGAATGAATAAACCGTTACTAATCAGTTTGGTTCCAGAAAGCGCACAGAAAACAAATATGCACAGAAAGAGTGTCTTGGAGGCAAATAATGACTTTTAAAAGTACAATCTTCCAATTTCTTTGTGAAGGTCCAGATGCTGCTCCCAAAGCAAATATTTCAGGTTTTAAAAGGAAATGCACCGCATTTTAAGCAGTCCCTCTGTGGCCTCGGTGGAAGTGCACACAACGTGCTGTGGTCTGAGACTCAGAGAGGGAGAGTTTATGTCCCAGAGGGCCACTTCTAGCTGTCTGTGGCCCCTTAACCTGCCGCCCCTCGACCCATACAAACCAAACAAACCAGAAGACTGATGATTTATCTTAAAGACAGGAATACAAACCTTTAGAATTTTAGACTTAGGAATACAGTTTGGCATCTCTGAGAGACATTTCTTTCCTCTTCCCTCACACTGCTTTATCTGGCAATAGATTACAATGCATTCTCAACAGGGTTTCTACTATTAGTTATTTTCCTAATTTTCTCATAACTGAAGAGCCTAATAAAAAGTCACCAAAATACATTGTCACTTTTGCTCAATCAAAGCAGAGATGACCATAGAAGCTCAGATTTAGAGCCCCATACACATGTCTAAAAACGGAACTGCCTTGGAGTTTAAAATAAAGCAAAAGCAAGCAAAAAACTGGATCATTTCTGCTCATGAAGCAGTATTAATGATGAAGCACATAAACAAGGAAGAGGTTAAAAAGCTATTTCTACACTTTTCTGATAAAGTGGTTAAAGCGTCTGACAGTAGTGACATCGTTTCGAGTCGGTTCATTAGACGGATGCCTCTGTGGGCAAAACTCTTTTTGAGTAGCTGCTTTATGTTTGCAGTGCCTTTACTTCAATGATCTCACAGCTCTTTAATTCATTTTTCCTGTCAACCAAACATCTAATCCCTTCATCAGTAGTATCTACTTTTTCCCTTAGCCGTTCAGTGCAAAGAGCTTTATTTGAGTGTCCTCTTTAATATTTTTCATGGACATCACTGTTCTCCAGGGTGGGTGGTTCTGTTTCCAATTTTCTCCCCTTCCCCATCTTGAGAAACAAAACTTTTGAAAACCAAACAAATTAAACCAGAAAAATGGTACTCAGAATTGCCTGACTTGAAAATCACCCCAATGCTTGTCCTGTGCATGACTTTTAGAACATTTGCATCAGCCATAAGAGTGAAAACAAAACAAAGTCTATCAGTGACAATTAATCATACCAACAACTACACCCTTCAGGCCAGATAAAGATAAACGGTTTCCACATATTCGAAGCATGTAAAAATGCTTCAATCTTGTCTTTAGGAAATAACAGGTTAACATACTCTGCTAGTGATATATAGCCAAGTCAATGACAAGGCACAGCTGCCTTGTTCATAGCTTCACATGAATATATAGGACATGCAAATGCAGTGATTCTTACCAGTTTTTAGTGCTGGCGATCAGGGAGAGGTCCCTGTGAGTGTCCACAGCAGTCCGGCCGGTCAGCAGCGGGACGGGTTGTCCTGGGGAGAAGATAGCTCCTTCTTTGACAGGGGAGTGGTGGAGCAGCACTGGAGCCCGTCTGTGAGCTGACAAACGGAGCCACACAGTCAAACTGCTTGACACTACAAGCTGCCTCTGACTTTTCTTTCGCACTTCCTCTCATGTGAGCTCAACTAGTTTGTTCTCATTTTTTTGCCTCTCTTACTCGCGCACTGAATCACACCCCTTTCATTTTGTTTCTCAGAGAGGATACAGTTGCTCTCTCGTATCATTCCCCCTGTAACTTTCTGGCAGAGCTGCCCCAACTCGAGAAACTCTGGGGAGGGAGGTAGAGCGGGGGGGGGGGGGGGGGGGGGGGGGGGGGGTGGTGCAGTGGAGGTTGTGCACATGTGTGTATGTGCATGTGTGTGCTGTAGTGAAAGAGAAAGAGAGCGCACCAGACTGTGTAGTCACTTATGTCTGCAGACAATAGCAGGAAGTGTTGCTTCAGGACAAACAAAGTACACAGGACTGATATAAGAAAAATACATAGCACGTTCTTCAAATAACAACTAACAATAATTTTGCAACAGTTGTGTGACATTTTTTTGTTAAAGTGAGACAAATTATTTTGTGGAATGTTTTAAATTGTGTTCTGCACAGCCCATAAGATGGAGGCCACATTTGCTTGCATTCTCTAATAGTATTTAGACAGTTAAGTGGGTAATAGAACATGCATGACAGTGCATTTTGAATGCTAAATTGTGCTTATCGACCAGATAACAATTACATAAAATTAGGAGAAAAAAGACAATAAAATGAATAGAATAAGACGCAAGTATTCAGTGTTATTACTTACCCACAGCCGCAAGTTTCTCTCCGCCATTTACATTTCCGTCTGAGTAAAAGCCAGGAAGCTGGTGATTTAGCAAAGAACAGGTCTACAGTGACACAAACATTTTCTAATTATAGTTTCAACGTGATCTGGTCTCGCCAAAAGCTGGGAAAGCAGCTGCCTCGGCCGTCAGTAATTTTTGTCTGAGTTGCCAATCAGTGAAAAACCAACACTACAACGTCATGATGTGCTTTCCTTTTCTAGCTCTGTAATTTGGGTAACTGTTAATTTCCTCTGAAATAAAAGTGGATGAGACGAGTTGCCGAGTGTAGTATTGTCAAATTTGTCATCACTGTGGTTTGGGAAGAGCGCTGCATTCATTCATTCATTCATATCACTAAATAATATATAGCAAGTTAATGGAAGAGATTAGAGCACCTGTGCTCAGGAAAGGTTTGATAAATTACCCTCATGTTAAAAGAATAGAAATGCCAATGTTGTGTTTGTAATACACACACAACTGTCCTGAAATATTCTCAGTTAATAAAATAAAAAAACATTGAAGGTATTTGTTTGTATTTTTATTCTATTTTTTACAATTTTCCCAAAATTAATATAATATTTTGAATCGTCACACACCCTGACCCTAAGCCTGCATGTGTTTGTGTTACGTGTGTATGGTGTTGTAGAGATTAAATCACTATTATGATATGCCATGAGTTTTTCTATGTGGTTGTTACAGTAATCTCTGTAGTATAAACGTCTTAATACTTGGTGAGCTTTTTATTATTGGTGTTTTTGTTCTGCTCTTATTGAATTGGAGCTAATCCCTCTTTTCTGCCGACAAAACAATGCCACAGTCAGACAAACCAACTCTGTGACAAACGGCAAACTGAAACCAAGCCAGCGCACAAATGAACCTGCACTGATTTAAGGCAGTACATGCTTTATGGTTTCCTTAATTCACAGAAGAGGAATGCAGCTTAAAGCTTGACAACTCATCTGACCCCATCCGCTGTGTGGTCTGGCTCCCTCCACTAGTGCGCAAGCAGCTATGGATTAGCTTTTTGGTTCAAATGTAATTTCATCCTTTGGGAAAACATACTGACCAAAGGGAACCCATGTTTGGGGGTTGTGACCCTTTGTCGGTGTGCCATGTGAGAGAGAGCCCTAGGCTGGCCCTCCTTGGTCTCAGTTTCTCCTCAAACAAACTTTGGAGGCAATGTGAGATTTAAACATATTCAAAATCTGTGAAGAAAATGAGATAAAAGCAACACATCTGAGTTCACCAATAGTGTAGTTTAAAGAGAAAAAATTATAAGTATTTCATGAATTCAAGGAAGTGCTTTTCATCTCTATTCCATCACCTTTTGTTTTTCCTCATTTGAGGCAAATATAATGGCAAAGAATAATTTCCATTTCCAGTTAGGTTCTTGTCAGTTTCAATGTTCATAGGAGCAGCAAGCTGTATTTATTGAGCTAACTTTCCAAATGCTGGAATACCAAAGTTCTCACAATCTGGTGAAATCCGCCTCTCACTGAATTGATACAAATAGCTAACCTGTTCCTTTTGGAGTACACAGAGGAAAAAGCGAAAAGAAGAAAAGACGTCAAAGCTGATAAGAAGCAGGTTAGGAGTCCTTGAGGAATACAATGGGATCTGCATCATCTGGAAACATGAGGTGGCTGTTAAAAGTCCCCAAATATCAGCGCGGGGAGGAACAGGAGGAAAAGGGGGGCACCTTTATCTGCTAAAGCAGTTGAGACCAGTCACAAAAAGAGGAAAATGCTGGACGCAGCTTATCAGCTTGTGAATGACCATCTTTTTCCCCATTATCTACTTAAACTTTATCTACTTCATGCATTTAGAAGCATTTATAAGATCTTTTTGGGAAACCCTCTCTGTTGCAGCAGAATCAGATTAATTCTTTCTTTGTGTTACTAATAATACCTTAGTTTTAACCATTAAATAATTTCTTGGCTCCTCACTTGAGAAAACATTGACATTATCATTTAACCTATCCTAAATAAGCATAAGCATGTTTTTGTTACTACTAGCAATGATCAAGAAAACTTTGCAACTTTGTCCATCAATAGTTTCTGACCTCTAAAACAACAGCAGTTTTTTCTCTGTTCACAGCTAACTTTTTTTTAATTTTAATCATTTCTAGATGGACACTGTAATATAATGTTTTAAACAAAGTAATCTGGGAGTGAATAATCCAAATGCTGGAGATTACTAACATAAGATTTGAATGGACTTGTGGATTTATTATGTGCTGCAAGCTGTTAATTAGTTTTACTATAGTTTTAACTTATGTATTTCTGAACAACTTTGGAGGTCTACGGCTAGTAAAAGCACACTATGAACATTATTGACCTGTTCATTCTTTTTCAAACTCAAAGTAAACAATATTTTAAAATCCGACAGTTTTCAGTACTTCAAACTATTCAGTATTTGTCAGCTGGAAAAAAATAATCTATGAGGTTCATTAGCTGAAACAACAAACAGCGCTGCTGCTGTGTGGACCACAAAGGCTGTGGTGACCTCTTGAAGAAACACATCCACCCAGGCGTGTAAAATGGACTTACACAGGTTCCAGGCTTCCACTGGTTGCTGTGCTTCTCGGCTTTCAATCTGCTGACCCGTCTCAGACAGGAAGGGGGAGTTTCCTGAAAGGTCATGGCTGTTCCAGCCAGACCAAACACTGGCTAATTGCTTTGTTGTTTGTCGGATCGGTGCCTGTTTTTGTGTTGCACTTTTCCTTTGTTTGGCATTCCCAAGTATATTACCTGAGTCTGTGCCCAAAAGATGGGGAGGACAGCGAGAGGAAGTTTGAAGAATGCGAGACAAAGAAAGGGGGAGGTCAAGTACTGAAAATATGAAGGCAGTGGTTTCATGATGGATGCCGTGATTAGGCCGTGAAGGGGCCCCTGACTCTGTTTGACTGAGACGAGCTAAAAATAGCCGGAGTAGGAAGGTGCTTATGGGACCCAGGGGGGAGAGGACTGGAAGCATAGGACGAGAGGGGCCTGCTGTAATTGGTGAGAGACAAACAGCTGGGGTGACAGATGGGTGTATGTAGGTGTGTACGAGGGGTCTGCACTGCACGCAGCTGTACTCTGTCTTTCAGGCTTTCAAATTGTGCGAGCGCCTATTTCTCTCTCACATATACAAAAACACACATACACACAGCAGGAAGGAGCGTAATGGGTCCCTGACAGCCAAAGACTTAAAGAATGTGCAACATGAGGCAAAGGAACAGCTGTATAGATGGGGGCCAAACAGAGGAGTGGGGGCAGTTGATTCAGAGGGATGGGTGAGGTACAGCCATAGAAGAAATTATGAAAAAGAGGTGGTGGAGTTCCTAGAGGGTGGGGTGGGTGTGGGGGACTCTCCGAGTCAGAATATGTGGAGAGGGTGGACTCTCTGGTATCAACAGATTTATCGGTTTAAGTCAAACGTCGGTCTTAATCAGCTCCAGAATGTTTCTGGCTGGGACTGGAAGCTCAGCAGATGTTTTGCTCAGCTGTTGCAGAACTGATTCACAGTTGGGTCAATGTGCCTCCTATTAAGTGGGCTCTGTGTAATGAAACAGCCTTGGGAACTCGAACAGAGCCTCAGAGAGACTGAATGAACAAGTCCAGTGCAAGGACAACAAGCTGCAGACCCTTTGTGTGCGTGTGCATGTGGGAGGAGGTGGAAAAACCATGAAGTCACCCTGACTGTGAGGGTGCTGGCTTTTCATTTTGTTTCTGGTATACAACTTGACATTGATCTGCAGAGTTACAGGATCCTTATCCATATAGTTTCTCACATTAACAATCAGTTTGTTATCCCTTTATGGGGTGAGATGTGGACTAAATATGAATCTGTAGGTTACATCCTAGCGATGTAGTCACAGCCTGCATCTCTAAGCTAGAGAGAATCTGCATGTGGCTGATTGTGGCAAGACTATAGTTCTGAAAACAAACAGTGTTTTGCTCAGCCTGCACAGAGTGAAAGAGAAAAGCCTTAGAAAAGAAAAAAAAGTTGTGCTTCAAAACCACAAACATTATAAGATAGAGCCAGAAGACTCCGGTTCCACAAATATATCAGGGGAACAAATATTAAACAAATGTGACATCTCTGACAAAGATATCAGTTCCAGAGATCACTGAGTTTTCATTTGCTCTCTTTGAGTCTTTCTAGAAATTTGACACCCACTGTCAGAACACCTGGATTGCATGAGCACATTTTACCAAGAAATATTCAGCCCTCACT